CGATTCCAGGCGATAGCGAGCCCCGCAACCCCTGAGACTGCTCACACGTTGCAGCGCATCCCCCAACCAAAAAACACCCCGTGTCCTGACTTCTCTTTGGACATCCTCCCGAACTACTTACTCTATATGTCTCTATATTATATTCTATATATATATACACATGTCACGAGAAAAATCCTCACTAACCTTGCATTCCTAATTCCTACTTGTCTTGGTGCCCAGCCGAAGGGCACTTTGCCGTCTTCGTGGAGCCGCCATCCCAAATCGCATCTCACGCTCGGCTCAACTGGCCGCTTTCGGCTTGTTGGAGACGAGGTAGACCTGGCTGAAGGCACGGCGCCAACTCGTTTAGGGTTTAGGGTTTAGGGTTTAGGGTTTCGGGTTTAGGGTTTGGGGAACAAACACCCTCATCTCAATCACAGCAAGAAAGAAAGTGCACCGCTCGGTGCTCGAACACAGACCCCCAAACACCTGTTGCAAGCCCCGTATAAGCTTCTTCGGTAAGCCGCGCAGAGAGGTTTTGAGTTGGCAAAAGTCACTTCGGAGTCGGCGGGCGAGGACAGGGTTTTACAGGCTTGCGGATGTCCACAACCCTCAAAACCTCAAGAGCAAGGCCAAGCGCGAGTCGGCTGACGGCCAACGACCGCCCGATTGTGAAGAGCTTCGCAGAATTCCAGTTTTCAGCCGCAGGGCAAGGGTTGGGGTTAAAGACTTGACCTTAAGTCTTCAACTCCCTGAACCGAAGCAAGTTGTGAACAAGAGGAAATAAGCTGCCTTGCTGAAGGCATCGCCGGCATAGTTGTTAATGGCCTGGCGAGTTCGGCTTGGAGTCTTGAAGCTTTAGGGTTTAGGGGTTAGGGTTTGGGAGCTTAGGGGTTTAGGGGTTGAGGGTCGTTTAGGGTTTAGGGCTTAGGGGTTTCGGGGTTTAGGGGTGTGGGGTCCAGACATCCCCCCAATTTTCAAAAGCACTGCCCGAGAAAGCCTTCCCTATTCCTCACATCCCATGACCTGATGGCCCAATGCAGACGCTGTGGTAGCTCTCAACACAAGGTCAAACGAACAGCTGCACCACCGTGAACCCAAAACCAGATGCTACAGTCTTCGCGCCCCAGCTGGGCCTTGCAGTAGTTCTGAATCTGCTTGCTGAGGACCATGGTGTCCAAGGGCTGCGGCTGCGGGTTTCGGTAGCCCTTGCCCTTGCCCTGGCACGTCCGGTGCAGGGGGTATCAAGGCCCCAGGCCTAAACCCTACACCCCAAATCGGCTCCTTCGACTGAGTGCTGCAGTGATGGTCCAGTGACGCGCTGTCAGAGCTGGGAACTGATGCGAGGCTAGTTTGGGATTATCCCCCTTATACTAGCAGAGCTCAGAACTGATGCGAGGGTAATTTGGGATGATCCCTTATACTAACAGTCCTTAAAATGGATTATTGTACCCCCCCAAATGATAATCCCTAATATAAGGACTGCTAGCATAAGGGGGAACATCCCAATGTCTCATGCAAGGTGCGTCGATGGTTGCTTTGTGAAGCTGAGGGCCCAGACCCGAAACCCTCCGCGGCCTTGTCATCACCCTTCCGACCAGCATTCCTCTCGTACATGGCCTTGCACCAGGTGTAATTACATTCACATGAGCATGAACTTTGCGCTAGCACACAGATACCCGAAAAAGTACCCGATAAGGTCCACTGGACTCACGACCCACCAGCTCAGGCCCCTGAGATCCTGAAGCCCAAAACTTTGACCACCGCAACCTAAACACCGAAAAGTCTTGGCCAGAGACCAGCGAAGGCCACTCCAGTGCAGTTGAGCTAGGTTTGAGGGTTCTGGCAGACCCGCACAGGCGCTCACAGAAATGTTCGCCAAGAGGCCATTTTCGTCTGTTCCTCGCCAGGGCAGATCAGGGCAGACCAGCGAGGGCTGATCAACGACTTGAAGGCCCTCATCTATTGGGGTGATGGTCACATGTAGCAGGCTTAGCAACTGCTGTGAAAGCAAGATCAGACGCAGTGATAAGCGGTACAATGTTCAGGGAATGATGATTTGAAGTTATATCTCTAAATAGTACATGAACATTCGACACATGTTGAACTAGTCCAGTTGCGATTTGGCCAGTCACCCTGATTCTGGAGACTTCGCGCATTCTGAGCGGAGCAGCCCTGGGCTGAAGCTGAAAGGCCACAATAATAAGGTGCAAGCACTGGATGCAGACCCTGATCCCTAAACCCTAAACCCTAAACCCTAAACCCTAAACCTTGAACCCCGCACCGCAGCGCTTGCAATGCGTGTCCTCGGCCAGGTTGGCGAGGGAAGAGCTAAGAAGCTGCACGTTCTTCTCGAAGAAGGCCTCGAAGTCTGGACCAGTCGACCCAACTCTCACAACAAGACACGCTCAAGAACTAAGGTTCCTCGATCGTAGATCCTTGCCCCAAGTGCAGGACCCTAAACGACTGAAGGCCCGAAAAGCCCGACATGGCAAAGTCGTGGTTTAGGGTTTAGGGTTTAGGGTTTAGGGTTTAGGGTTTAGGGTTTAGGGTTTAGGGTTTAGGGTTTAGGGTTTGACTGCTCGACTCACACACACACAGACAGACACTCCGGGGCCAACGGTCCTTCCACGAGAAGGTTGGAGGATCAGCTGGAAGGATCGACTGCTCCAGCCATAAACTCTCAGCCCCTATATGGGGGTTTCCGAAGTTAGGGGGGTGCCTTAGAGGGGTCCTTATTCCTAGGGAATCCTACTACTTGGGGTTTAGATAAGGGGCCCCTTTCTTTCGTAAACCCCCATATATGCACCTGGTTCTCCACGTCCAGCGTCTCGACCTGCGAAGTTGTCGCCAGCGGGTTGGTGATGGACCAGTCCTGGAAAGTGAAGGGGGGGGGGGGGGGCCTTGAGGGTGCGATGATTCTAGGCTGGTTAAGAGTTGCGGAGATCAGGTCGCCAAAACCGAGACATCTCAGGCAGTCCGCAGGGACTGTTTCAGTTCTTCTGGGGCTCCAACAAGAATATCAACAGACCAGCGTCCACAGCCTCTCCCCCTCCCAAAGACTTACGACGATTTCGGCACTGAAGGGCATATTTCTATTGGCCACTGAAGTTTTATCGACGTGACGGTGTACGGTTTGCAGATATGGGGGGGGGGGGCGGGGGAAAGCCTCAAGTTTACTGGCGGCTGTTTGGGTGCCAGCGTCAAACCCTTACCAACACTCAAAGAGCCTGTGACATCAGTTCCACAACTAGAGGCGGCCAACAACTCAACAAATCCTAGAGATAACATAGGCCAACGAACTAGATTCGTGTGGATGCTCGGGCAACAAGCTGCTGTGCCATGTGTCTCCTGCTAATAATGTCTATCTTCTTGTAGCCCTAAACGCTAAACCCTCAGCCCTAAACCGATTCTTTGCCCAGCAGCCAGCAAGAAGCACTCCGCCAAGGGCGACGCGGTGACTACCTGGGGCTCTGCCCAAGTGCAAAGCATGAGCCCCGAACCCAGGACCCATGTGAAGTTGAGGGTTCAGGGTTCAGGGTTTAAGGGTTCAGGGTTCAGGGTTTAGGGTTTTGGGTTCAGGGTTTAACCAGGATATATGTGAAGTAGACCCCTGCTGAAATCTGGGCCCCGGCCCCACTGGCCAAACCCTGAACCCTAAACCCGAGGTGATGCAGATCCAAGGACGAACAGAACCCTCCTGACTAGAGGAGCCTTGCTGTGCTTCCGGAGTCTAAAAGGATACGCTCTAAACCCTAAACCCTAAACCCTAAACCCTAAACCCTAAACCCAAAACCCCAAAACCCTAAACCCCTAAACCCTGTCTAGGAGTTAGTGTTGGGTTTGCATCTGCCGATTTTCCAGAGCTCGGATGGCCCTGGAGCCATCCGAGACTGCATGCAGAGCCCAGGGTTTAGGGTTTAGGGTTTAGGGTTTAGGGTTTAGGGCCCAGACTAGGTGGCTTGGGCCTAGGTCCTATATTTAGCGCTTCAGGGCTGGGCCTACAGGTGCTGAAGAGTTTGCGTGGAGCCCACTTCAACGGCTCTTAGGCTGCCAACTTGGAGATCTGAAACGCCAAGAGTGTGTGCTCTAAACCCTAAACCCTAAACCCTAAACCCTAAACCCTAAACAAGGAGCAAGTGTGTGTGCTGTCAGATCTTGCACGGACATCTGGTTGCAAAAGTCATCAAGGGTGCTACACTTTTCCGGATTTGTTTGTCACATATCCACCTAAACCCTAAACCCTAAACCCTAAACCCTAACACAAAGGAGCAGAAATCATGAGTAGGGTTTGGCTGCGGGGTTGCGGTCTAGGAGGCTTTCAAGTTGTGTTCGGGCCCCGTAGGCCCATCACTTGGGGCCCCAGCAATGGGGATCTCCACGAACATCTCGTTCACCAGAGAATCCACCAGGTCAGCCTGGAAAGCAAGAACCCTGAACTTGATGTATCAGAAGAATCCGAGATAAGGCTACATGGGCCCGCCTATAGAGACCTCTAAGATCGGGATGTTCCGGCTTGGTGGACTTTGGGGCGCGGGTTTCGGATGCGGCTTCCGGGCTCAAGGTTAGGGTTAGGGGCTGGGGAGGCAAGCACCATACTTGCTGCGCAGATCAGCCCTCTAAGCCCATGTGGTCCGAGCAGAACCAGAGTAGGGAATGTTGCAAAAAGCCAGGGGGGGTGGGGGATCGCCGACTTCGCCTCGCTCTCATGCCGCTGGAAAGACATCACAGAGGCGCATGTTGGCAGAGCTACAAAAGATCTCTAAGGGCTTCAACCTTAGGCAGAACCGGTGCAAGACAAACTCGACCAAGCTGTCGTTCTCGCTCGCTCGCTTTCTCTCTCTCTCGCTCTTTCTGTCTCTCTGTCTCTCTGTCTCTCTGTCCCTCTGTCCCTCTGTCTCTCTGTCTCTCTGTCTCTCTGTCTCTCTGTCTCTCTGTCTCTCTCTCTCAAGGGGTTGTAGCCCCTAAATAACCACTGAGGTGCCGTATAGGGTCCTTCCTTTAGTCCCTTGACTCTCTCTTTCGCTCCCTCCCTCCCTCTCTCTTTCTTTCTTTCTTTTTTTGGTTTCTTTCTCTCTCTCGCGCATAGCCCAATTATAACCTTCTTAGGGCACTTAAGGGGCTCATAAGTGGCTTATAAGTACAGTTATTATAGGTCCCTAAACCCTAAACCCCAAACCCCAAACCCCAAACCCTAAACCCTAAACCCTATTCTTGGGGAAAGAAGTTATCAAGTACCATGAACCTCCAAGTAGGGCCTAGGCGGCCCAACAACTCCTCAACTCTCGCAATCATCGGGCCTTCGCTGCACCGTAGGCAGATGCGTACCTGGGCTGCTTTTTGAGGTTTAGGGTTTAGGGTTTAGGGTCTAGGGTTTGGGGCTCGAGGTTTATTCAGGGAGATGCACCTCCATCGGAAAGAAGTTCTTGATGCTCAGACCCTAGGTAGTTCCGACTTGAAGTAGTTCCTACAGTTCTCAAGCCCTAAACACCGCTCTGGTTTAGGGTTTAGGGTTTAGGGTTTAGGGTTTAGGGTTTAGGGTTTAGGGTTTAGGGTTTAGGGTTTAGGGCTCATCTTCCAGACTCCGCGCCCCTGCTCCAAACCCCAAGCCCTGCACCCGAAAGGCCCCAAACGCCCTAGACACCGACTCCTTGGTTTAGGGTTTAGGGTTTAGGGTTTAGGGTTTAGGGTTTAGGGTTTAGGGTTTAGGGTTTAGGGTTTAGGGTTTCAGGGTCGAGAAGCTCAAGGCTTGGGGGCACTTTGATAAGGAGAGGCTTGCTTGGTGCTTTGAAGAGTGATGGGTTTGAAGCCTTACCTACCAAATTGCTTAAGAACCCCCCAAAAAATAAGAATCTTCTTCCTTCTGACGTTAATACAGGGATTCTTATTGTTCCTTGTGACGGTAATACAGGGATTATTATTGTTTTTTGATTTTTTTTTTTTTGGGGGGGGGGGTTCATGGTAGTTAAGGGTTTAGGGTTTAGGGTTTAGGGTTTAGGGTTTAGGGCAAAGAGTGATGCAAGGGCAGGGCTGTATCTTTTCGCGAGGCCGCAACTTTCTCCCAACATCTGGCGGTGAGCCGTATTCGCCGGATGGGGGTCACGGCTCCACACGAGAAGTGCGGTCGGAAACATCTGGCAGTAGTACCGGTTGCAGGCTTCGGGCTTAACACTCCTTTCGGCGTGGTGATTGCCTGGGCGGTCGTTCGTGCTGAAGTGAACGCATATTGCCAAAGTGAACACGACGGATGACCATCGTTCACGCAGGGTGAACATGCCTCTGATGTATTTACTGTCCTTAGGCACAACCCCTGACTCAATGCTTCAAACGTGCACAAGCCAAACTGTGATCGGCCTTAGGTCCGGCAACCCTGAAACTCGCACATGCCACATGAGTGTGGAGTTCGCAGGAATTCGCTGTGACAATCAAGAAAGGCCCCATTGTGACCCAAGCGTCACAAGATTTAGCCGGACTTCCTTAAGCTGCTTGTTGAGGCGGCGGCTGCTGCTGCTGCTGCGGCCACCGCCGCCTCCGCCGCCGCTGCTGCCACTGCTGCCGCTGCGGCTGCTGCTGCCGCTGCTGCCGCTGCCGCCGCTGTCGCCGCTGTCGCCGCTGTCGCCGCTGTCGCCGCTGTCGCCGCTGTCGCCGTGTCGCCGCTGACGCCGCTGTCGCCGCTGTCGCGGCTGTCGCCGCTGTCGCTGCTGTCGCTGTTGTCGCTGCTGTCGCTGCTGACGCTGCTGTCGCCGCTGTCGCCGCTGTCGCTGCTGTCGCTGCTGTCGCTGCTGTCGCTGTCGCCATCGCCGTCTTTATTGCAGAGTTGTGGTGTCGTGGTGTTGTGGCGGCGGTCGGTTGCGGCTTCCATGCATTGTCCACGATCCCAAAAATCTCGTGAAACGGGCTTAGGGTTTAGGGCTTCGGGTTTAGAGCCTTGTTGCCATAAAGCCTCAAGCCCAAGAGACCCCCAAGGGAATGGAAAACAGGGGCCTGGCCTCCACATTCGCCGCGATATGTGGGCTTTCGGGCTCTACCACGTGAAATGTCTGGCGTTCGGGTTGAGGGCCTTGGACAACCAAGCCACTCCTACCTAAACCCTTAAACCCTGATCTCTAAACCTTATAAACCCCAACCCTTAAACCCCAAACCCTGAGCTGTCCGGAAGGCAGGAAGGCTTGGCGGCCTTTGCTCCTTATAGTTATAGGGTTATAAGGTTATAGGGTTATAGGGTTATAGGGTTATAGGGTTACCCTATAACCCTATAACCCTATAACCCTATAACCCTATAACCCTATAACCCTATAACCCTATAACCCTATAACCCTATAAGTTATAGGGTTATAGGGTTATAGAGTTATAGGGTTTAGGGTTTAAGGATAAGGCTTCTTCTGATTGCGGGTGCGGCTCTGCGTCCGGAACGCAAATTCCAACACTGCCATAAGGGCTCAGGGTTTAGGGTGTTGGACTAACCATCAGTTCTGCTGGGCTCCAAGAAGAGGAGGTCATGGTCTTAGTGCGAGAGACAAGTGAATTGCTCACTCAGGGAGTTTTGCGGCAAGAGCATGAGCCTAAACCCTAACCCTAAACCCTAAACCCTAAACCCTAAACCCTAAACCCTAAACCCTAAACAATCATGGCTTCGGTTCCTCGAGTCTCGTTTCGGTGGAGCCCTGAGAGCGCTGAAGCGGACACTTTGCCGGAAAAAAGGGACCTTACAGGGTGGCCATGGTGGCCATGGTGGCTTGCAGGGAATCGGGTTTAGGGTTTAGGGTTTAGGGTTTAGGACGCAGGGATATGGTTTAGGGAGGGTGCGGAGGCGAGGCGGGGCGGGGGGGGGGGGGGGTAAGGGAGAAGTGCCGACGACACGTAAGGGGGCCCCATGGCTCATCCTGCAAGGTGGTGGGGAGATTTAGAAAGTCAAACCTCGTCGTGCTGCCATCGAGTCGCCTGGGAACCAATGTCATGCTGCGAACTCATGGTTGCGCAAAGGGCAACACCTGCTTCGCCCGACGGCAAGCGAGGTTACCCACCGTCCCTTTCAAATTTGACGACTGGGGTCAGTTGATAAATGATAAACGCAGATTCAGATAGACGCGTCCATGGAACGCATTGCGCCCTCTGACGTTCAGGTTGAGATCAACGGTACCGGTTCTATGCCGAATTAAGAGCCGAAGAGATAGTTCGATTGAAAAGCAGCTTAGGCACCTCCAAAAGCATAATTCTTACACGTGATGCATTTGTTCTCGAATGTCGGTTCCGCAACATCTTCTTCCCATGAGCTCAAATCATGGGACGACGCTGGATCTCGGACAGCCTTCCACTTACCAAGAGGGTCCTGCCGTGCCGCATGGGCCCATGCAAAAGAACTTGCGCACTTGCGCAGCTTGCGCACCCTTAGAATTGGCATGGCTCCATCTAGAACAACTGCCGCGTGTCTTGCAGATCTAGACTTTCCTGGGACCCGACGACCACGCACGGCTTCTTCGGCCGGCTGGGACTCAGTCTGGCGATGCCCCACCCCCCACCCCTCCACCCACGAACTAGCTGAAACCTGAACATTTCTGAGGCGGGTTTCGCTTCGAGGCTATGAAAACACGCAAGGCGCCAGGGTCGAGATGGGAAGGTTGGGGTGTATCAGAGAATCCGAATCTCCCTACTAAACCCTAAACCCTAAACCTGGGGGGGGAGGAGCCGGGGAGCGGGGGAGGAGGCAGAGCTTTGGCCTGGTCAAGGCTGGCAGCAGCGCTGTCAAAATTCCGCTGCGATGCGCCTCGCGAATTTGAGGATGCAGGTGCCGTCAGCTGAGGCAAGCCGTTTTAAAAAGTGCTCTTCTCGCATTGGTTGTCTATATATGCATGTAGGCGGGGCATGTCTGAGTGTAAACAAGTACATACCTACATCTCGTTACATAGTGTGCTGAGCTTCTGTGCTTGTATGATCATACAGGCTTCTCACTTGCAAATGCATAAAGATACGTATACATCCAATGTCTCGCAAGCTGGGGTCTCGTTCAATCATATGAAGTAGGGTTTATGTTACTGCCATTGGTGAGTGTATATAAGCTTCCTTTTTGATATTGGTGAGTGTGTATACCCGGTGTCCTTTTGGGGATACTAGAGATATATACCCTACTTCATGTGCTGAATGCTTGGGAGAGCCATCTTGTTTCTTCATCTGCAGCCCTATATATACAAGCCCAAGCAGCATGTCCATGCCAATGAATCTTCAACCCAAGGAGCCCAGTACCCCTTAATTGAGGAATAAACCTTAAACTACATTAAGGATCCCTATATAAACTAAGCAATATATCCCTAGTTAAGGGACATTGGGCGCTTTGGGAATTGCATCTAAACAGAGTCACTACACAGTCGTCGCTCTAGACTCTAGACGCTCTGAGGATGGACCGTTCCAGCGCAAAACGCCAAAAGGCGAGAGCTGCTGATTTCGGGCCAGGCTCCCTCAGCGGCACTGCGTGTGAGAACAGTCGCTCTCTTTGCGCAAGACGTGAGCGCAGGAGTGCACAAACAGTCACCAACATTCGCCTCGCCCCCCGCTTGGGAAGCTTTGTGCTCCTGGGCACCAGTGCGACCTTGTAGACGAACTGCTACTGGAGGATCAGCCAAAGCTATCACTAGCAACGACATTCTCCCCGAAAGAGAACCTCTACCCTGCTGCTCCGTGTCAACGTAGGCTCGCTGTCGTAGGGGTTGCTTCCAAACAAGGTATGTCGTGATACGATGCGATCTCCACCAAGTCCCGGGCTGAACAGCCCTAAAAAAAGCGGCTAGGCTTTCCTAAACCGACATGTAAGCGAGCCAGTGAAAATGCCAAAGCCCTAGATACCCAGAACCCGAAACCCTTGTAGTGGGCTTAGGATTTAGGGTTTAGGGTTTAGGGTTTAGGGTTTAGGGTTTAGTAAACCCTAAACCCCAAACCCGAAACCCTTGTAGTGGGCTGAAGGACGGCTAAGCGCCTGGGGCCAGTGGCCATGCAACAGCTGGGGTTCGGGCTTCGACTATGGAGCTAAGGGGGAGGGGGGGGGGGGTTACAATTACGGATAAAAAACACAAATAAGAAAGGGTTTAGGGTTTAGGGTTTGGGGTTTGGGGTTTAAGGTTGAGGGTTCGTGCGGGGTTTGTTGCAGGCAGGCCGAAGCCCACAACAGAAGACCAGCACTTCAGGTGCTTTGCACTGACTTGCTTACAGTTCTGCAGATTGGTTGAAAGGGTTTAGGTTTTAGGGGTTCGGGTTCAGGGTTTAGGGCTTTAGGGTTTAGGGCCCTAAACCCTAAACCCTAAACCCTGAACCCTGAACCCGGAACCCTGAACCCTAAACCCTTTGAGGCTGAAAGGACTGAAGAGTGTGCGACAAAGCTACAAGGCCCACTGGTGCCCCCATCATTCGCTTCACGCGCGCCCTTGACACGAGTTCGGAACGAACGTAGGGAGGACTTTTGGGGGGGTTTCGGTATTTGGGCCGCTTTGGGGCTTGTAGAGACTACTTGGAGGTTTATGGTACTTATTAACCCAATTATGACTGCACCTACAACCAAATCATAACCTCATTAGGGCACTCAAGGGGCTCAGAAGTGGGCTATGAGTACAGTTATCACTGGTTATTTAGTACCATGAACCTCCAAGTAAGCCCCTTAAACCCTAAACCCTAAACCCTAAACCCTAAACCCTAAACCGCAAAGGGCAAGCTCTAGGTCGACTCAGGGCCCTTTTTTGAGTACTGCGCTTGAAACTGCTGGTTCTACAGCGCTGGGGTAAGGAAAAAGGCGCCGGGGTAAGGGAAAAGGAGTGTCGATACTTGCTGCGGTTTAGGGTTTAGGGTTTAGGGTTTAGGGTTTAGGGTTTAGGGTTTAGGGTTTAGGGTTTAGGGTTTAGGGTTTAGGGTTTAGGGTCCCTTTGGCTGCAATCAGCTTCAGTTCGCTTCGGGGCTGAGAGCTTTAGAAAACAAGTGCCGGGCGCCTTGAACATTAGAGTAGGGCAGTACAGATCAGCAAGGAGGAGCCTCGTGTTCAATCCCTTTCCCCCCTAAGCCCCCAAGCCCTAAACCCTAAACCCTAAACCCTAAGTCCCCTCACCCTAAACCCGTGACACAGAACTCTCGAAGCCTCTGGCACAAGCTGGGGTTAGCAGTCCTATCAAGGTTTGGGGCTCTGGGTTTCAGCTTAGGGTTCAGGGTTTAGGGCTTTTGTGCAAAACCAGCCTTCGATTCAGAAATGACCAATAGCAACCTATCAAGATGCCCTCATCCTTGGGTTTCGGAAAGTCTGGCGCTCGTCCGCCTCAGAGCTTGCTGATCCACACAATGCCACATCCGCACAAACTGACATGTTCGCCAGGATACTTCAACAGATATAGCAAGAGGCCGCCTGGAGTAGGGTCCACGGCTTCAGGGCCCGCGCTCACCACGCCAGGCAAAAGGCTCCCTAACCCTCCCTTGGGCCTGGGGTTGATTGGAAGTATAATTCTACTGAATTACATACTTTTTACGTAGAAGTAGCTACAATAGGAACCCAGAACCGTATTAAAGGGTAGTAATCCAAAACCCAGTATTTGTATACCGCTGCACCATCGAGCTGAAACCGCTGGACCTCATCCTCAAGATTCTGCCCCCCCCTCCCAGCAGCGCGTCGCCGTCGCCCAACAAAAAGGCTCTCAGTAGACGACGGCGCTGCCGCTCCTGCATTCGCAGAACTGCTAGACCCCAGGAGTAGCCTAGGAATGAAAAGGGTTCTCTTGCTTCTTTTTGGTTTTAAGGGGATTGCCCTAAAAAGGAAATAAGGACCTACTCCAAGTGCCAAATACATGAGGTCACTCGCACCCCCAAAGGCCCCAAGCCATCATGCCACAAACCCTAAACCCTAAACCCTAACCCCTAAACCCTAAACCTGCCTCAGAACCTGTGGAACATGCGGAGGCAGCTTCGCGCGCAGCCCGAAAGAATGGCCCCTTCACCAAGGCAAAACAGAAGAGGTTGGACCCCAAAAAAACTGGGGGTTTACGAAAGTAGGGGCCCCTAATATGATGAGGACCCCCATAAGGTACCCCTACTTTCGGAAACCCCCAACCTCCAAACTTTTCCGTTTCGGGCCCGGCCTGCTGCTGTCTTCCTCGCGCTCAGAGGAGGCGTAGACACCTCTCGTCACATGGCCCCTTAATTCGGGAACCCTAAACCCTAAACCCTAAACCCTAAACCCTAAACCCTAAACCCTAAACCCTAAATTCCCACCCGGCCTACTTAGGCCGTACCCACCCTTTTCTAGGGTGCCTGGACCCAGAAGATACCCGGCAGTGATGGACACCTTTGCTGGATGGACAATGGGTGGAGCCATTGGAGAATGGTCGAATAGAGAGCCCCTCGGGCTCGCCTTGCCACTAGGCCACCAAAGTGGCGCCCATATTTGCACAGGATCCTCCGAAAACCCAGCACCACAGCGCTCGAGAAGTCCACCACCCTGGAGCCCCTGGGCCCTCTGGAGGCCCCCTGGTCCCTGACCCGAAAATCCTGAAATCCAGGGTCCGCCATGGGGGGTTACCCTTTCCCGAGTCAAAATTGCCCCCACTGCCCCACATTGCCTGCCCCTCTGGCCCCTGTCCAGGCCCCCCCCTTTCTGTGTTCCCCCTTGCCTGATCCCCGCCCCACTACCTTCACCACACCTTTGTAGGGAAAGCAACGGTGGGGGCGGCAGCCCTAAACCCTAAAAGGCAGTGGTTTGGGTGGTGGCCTGTGAAAGCTCACAGCGGGTGGGGAGAAAGAACCCAGCACCAATGAAATTGTTGGATTACATTGACAAAAGCTGCCTTCGCGTGACATGCCGCCCCCCCCACACCCCCTGGGTGTGTAGGGGCGCCATGTACGCATGGCACTTACTGCCGCTGCGCGGCGAGACGCCCTAAACCCTAAACCCTAAACCCTAAACCCTAAACCCTAAACCGTAAACCCTAAACCCTAAACCCTAAACCCTAAACCCTAAACCCTAAACCCTAAGCCCTAAACCCTAAGCCCTAAGCCCTAAGCCCTCAAGAGCTCGGGCTCCGCGGAAGGTCGTGGCCTGCTGGGTTTGGAGCTGCACCCCAATGTCTGCATCGCGCTCAAGCTGACGCAGTCAACTCCAAGACACAGATTCTTTGAGGGTTTAGGGCTTAGGGTTTAGGGTTTAGGGTTTAGGGTTTAGGGTTTAGGGTTTAGGGTTTAGGGTTTAGGGTTTAGGGTGCAACCCCGTAACCATATGGGGGTCCCGAAAATAGGGGGGGGGGGGGGGGGTACCCTTTTGGCGGGTCCCGCTAAGGGGATTCTATTCTATTTGGGCTATAGAAGGGGTGCCCGTATTTTGGCAGTGAGGGTAACCTTGTTTTGGGGTTGGTTACTTGGTGACTCGATACGGGAACTTTGGACCCCAAAAAAGGGGCAAAAGGTACCATTGGGGCACCAAGGATGAATGAAACCCAGAGAAGCCAGAACCTCCGTACTGAACCCTCAACCCTAAACAACCCTAAACCCTAAACCCTAAACCCGAAACCCTAAACCCTAAACTGCCCTTAGCCCGAAAAAAACCCATCCCAGAGGCCCCGCCTGCCATGGACGCCCCCAGCAAAAGTGCAGCGCCGCATAGGGCGCAAGGACCGTCAGGCATCTCCCCTGGCACCAGGGTGGCCCTAAACCCTAAACCCTAAACCCTCTATTTGATCAGCCCCCGACTCCATCAACTGTTGTCAGCTCCCCACGCCAACTTTGCTACAAAAACCTCAACCTTCAAAGGGCTTAGGGTTTAGGGCTTAGGGTTTAGACTCCGAATCGCAAAGGCCCAAAAGGCTCCAACACCTCAGCTCCTTCTCGGGCCTTGAACGGCTATCATACAGAACCAGGGTTTAGGGTTTAGGGTTTAGGGTTTAGGGTGTAGGGTTTAAGGAGCAGGGTTTAGGGTTTAGAGGTTAGGATTTAGGGTTTAGGGTTGAGGATTTAGGGTTGAGGGCATAGGGATGCGCCCCAAACGGCGGGATTCGAGAGCGCATGCGCTGGAGAGTGAGTCCGGAGGTCCGAAGATGTGTTGGCAGGTTGGAGCATGGGGCTCCTTGCTGAAGGGGATAGGATTAGGGGGACCCTTGGGGATATAGACCCTCTGAATAAGGTCCCTGTTTAAGAGAGCCAGAAGAGGGTTAAGGGGGGTTCCCTTTTCAGGGTCCCCGGTTTCCTTATCCTACCTAGGATGATGGATGTCGGGATGTAAGCGGCTTAGCTTGAGAACTATTTTGGGGGTTTACGAGAATAGGGGACCCGAATAGTGCCCCCAAATAGCAGGATCCCATGATAATGAGGACCCCAAAAAGTACCCCTCAATATCGCAAACCCTCATTTAAGCTCCGATCGGAGAACAGGTCGGTTGAAATCCCGCTCCAAGCTCAGGCTCTGAACCTTAAAACCCTCGTCTGCCTCGCCATAGATAGGCGAAGACGGCACCCCAGATGGGCTCACAGGCGTAGATCAACGCCGCCTCGGAGGCTCGGAGTTTTGGGGCTGAATGAGAGCCTAAAAAGAGTGTCGGGACTGAGCAATTGGGCGGAGGGCATCAAGGGCTCAGGTTTTCGTGCGCTGAAAGACCGTAATCCGTAAACCGTAAACCGTAAACCCTAAACCCTAGACCCTAAACCCTAAACCCTAAACCCTAAACCCTAAACCCTAAACCCCTAATGCTTGGGCTTCCCCATGTCATCGGGCTCTTCATGCCGCTTTTGATGAGGCGTTAAGGTTCAGGGGTTAGGGCTTGCGGGCGACTAAACAAGAGCTGGGAGTCCGGGGGTGCCCTTTTAACGCGAACAAGGGCAAATCTTGTGAACCAAGCCTTGCGCTCAGGCTGAGGCCTTCAGCCATAGGCCCCAAGTCTAGAAACGTCCCCGAATTCGAACCAAGGCCCGCTAGATGAAACCCGCTTTTCTCAACCCCGAAACCTCAGCAAGCTCAAATCTGCACATGAGATGCAGCCCTAAAGGGCTGAAGAAGTGAAAGTTTGCTAAACCCTCAACCCGCAATATAGGCGCCGGAATAATTACTAACATGATTCCCTTATGGCCCCTGTATACATATACTGCGATTCGAATCCTTAAGTCCTCTATAGTAGCCGCCTAGACCCTAAACCCTAAACCCCAAACCCTAAACCCTAAACCCCAAACCCTAAACCCTAAACCCTAACAGTTCAGGGTTCAGGATTCAGGGTTCAGGGGTTAGGGTTTAGGGGTTTGCTCCGGGGTGGGAAGTTTTCCTGGGTTTTGGGGTTTAGGGTTTAGGGTTTTGGGCTTGGGGGCCCCATAAGCCGACACACCTTGGGATGCTGCCCCGTCATACTAACCGTCCTTGATAGGGGAGAAGTAGCCCCTTTTTATAATCCCAAATTAAGGACTGTTCGTATATGAGGGGGAACATCCCCAACCGACACCCAGCTCTTCACCGTCTCTTCACCTGCGGCCCAGCAGCAATCGGAGCATCCACGTCGCGAAGGGCCCGTGCCTCTGGAGCCACCGGCTGGGGTGTGGAGCTATATTGATTTCTTGTACGCCCAAAAGGACACCCAACATATACACCCACCAATGTTAAAAAGGAACCTTATATGCACTCACCAATAACAGAAATATAAACCCTGCTTCATGTCAGTTTGGGGCGGGGGAGGGGGGGAGGGGGCAGGGGGGGAGGGGGGGAGGGGGGGAGGGGGGGAGGGGGGGAGGGGGGAGGGGGGGGAGGGGGGGAGGGGGGAGGGGGGGAGGGGGAGGGGGGGAGGGGGGGAGGGGGGGGGAGGGGGGGGAGGGGGGTGAGGGGGGGGGCAGGGGAAGGGGGGAGGGGGGGAGGGGGGAGGGTGGGGGGGGGGGGGGAGCCGGTGGGGGGGGTGGGGGGGGGTGGGGGGCGGGGGGGGGCGGGGGGGGCGCCCCCCCCCGTACTGCGATGCAAGGCAGTAAGAGACGGGCAAAAGCAACAACAACAGAAGGGCAAGAACAAAAATCAAAACAAATAGCAATCAAGAACGTCCAGAGGCCAAAAGAAACAAAAGGCCGTAGAAGGCGTGCAATTTACCAATGAACGCAAGACGGAAGAGCAGGAGAGAACGAGAGAACGAAACAGAAGGAAAGAACGAACGATAAAAGTAACGAAGCCACATGGGGAGAGGGAAGGTTTGGGGGGTGGGGGGGGGGGGGGGGGGGGGGGGGGGGGGCTGCATCACTGCATGATGTTCACGGTATGAAGCTGCATATCCTCTCTGCCCGGGTGCGAGACCTCGACAAGAGCGAGAATTGATACCCGCCGCCAGGCCACAAGCATGCTAATTGCGATGGTTGGGAAGCCAAAGACCAAAAAAAAGAACAACAACGCCCCCAGATTTTGTCTAAATGAGTGTCGCACCCCATTTAAACGGCTCTAGTCCAGCCCTCTGCCTGCCAGGAGGCCAAGTGCAGAACAGGATTCTTCTGTCTGCACATCTAAAAACTTTAACTCCAAGGAATCGAAGGTTTCAGGAATACCCTTAGGGTTTAGGGTTTAGGGTTTAGGGTTTAGGGTTTAGGGTTTAGGGTTTTAGGGTTTAGGGCCGACTTTTGCTGCCATCACATCGTGCCAAGGCATGTCCTCCCACAACCCCGCCTGACAGGGATCGGGCTTTCGCAATGAACCCCTTCAGTGTGTATGGCTGTACACTGAGCCCTAAACCCTAAACCCTAAACCCTAAACCCTAAACCCTAAACCCTAAACCCTAAACCCTAAACCCTAAACCCCAGTTCCCCCCGCTGCCTCGGCCCAAAGGCAGAAGGCTGTCGTCACGAGTCCCATGATGACCACTTGGAGCCACTCGCCTGCATTTTGATGGGGCCAGTGGGTTTGTGCGCGCGAAACTTCTGTACTATAGGGGCCTTAATGATTAGAATAGGGTTTTGGGGGGTTATTCTGGTATATTTATATAGGAACGATTAGGGAATACTAGCAACGAAGCTGGGTGCAGGTTCTCACCACCTTGCGCACCTGCAAGTTTTCAACCTCAGACGCGCTCGTGATGCTATTGTGGTGGGTACAGTGTGCTTCTAGAACCCCAAGAACAGAGAACAGTGATCCCAACAAAAAATCAGCATCATGACGGCGAAGATCACTCAGAGCAGCTCCGCTGGGCTTATGTAAGTGTGTGCTCGGTCAGTGCTGAAAGTGATTTCCCTACGTTCTGCAACCAGAGCTCCACACCTGCTTTACCTGAACACAGCCTGGTATGGTAACTTCAGACCTCTTGCGAACTGGATAAACCTGGACCCAGCTGCTTTTTTTCTACACCTCCACTAAAATTCCTACAAACCCTGAACCCTAAACCCTAAACCCTAAATCCTAAACCCTAAACCCCCTAAAGCCTAAACCCTCAACCCTAAACCCGCAAATCCCATAGCCCACACTGCCTGGAGGAAATGCCGACACCGTCTCCACTACGGAGGGGAGGCTGGAGCCCTGCGCCAGGACGCAGAGGAAGGAGAGACCTGGCGCATCTTCTCTTCAGCGACACTCTCCTGGGACGGCCCCTAGAAGCCTCTGAATTTAGGGTTTAGCGCTTAGGGTTGAGGGTTTAGGGTTTAGAGTTTAGGGTTTAGGGATGTTTAGGGTTTAGGGTTTAGGGTTTAGGGTTTAGGGTTTAGGGTTTAGGGTTTAGGGTTTAGGGTTTAGGGTTTAGGGTGTTCAGTGTGGAAGCAAAGCTTTGCAGACTTCAGATGTCTTCTTGACTGGCGAAGGATATCACTGGATCTTCGGGCGGTTGGCGCATAGGCTAGGTCAGGGTTGCGGTTCGCCAGGCCCTCCAATCAACATGTCCCGAAACGCCCCCAAACCTTCATAAACCTAACCCCACCAATGCCTGCACGAGAACCAAAGCAGGCTGGAACACCAAGCAAAGTCTCAGGCGCCTTGAAGCCCATACAACGCAACCAACAACCATACTGATTTTGGAACCCTAGCAAAATTGCAAATTTTGCGGTTTCTCAGGAATTACAGTACCCAAAAATCAAAAGATTATTCCCAAGTATCCCTAAGTCAACCCTTTCCCGACTCACTCTCGGAGCTCTTAGCTCGCCTGAGACGAAAGCTAGCTGCAAGCAGGTCAGCGCAGCCACCTGTAAAGTGAAAGGCAGAGGAGCGTTGGGAGTGGCCTTTTAGAGACATCCGCTTTCTTGGAACCCTCAAACCCTAAACCCTAAACCCTAAACCCTAAAACCCTAAACCTTAAACCCTAAACCCTCCTCCTTAAAACCAGGGCGAAGAATGGCCCCGAGGGACCCTAAACCCTAAACCCTAAACCCTAAACCCTAAACCCTAAACCCTAAACCCTGAAGTCCAGGGCTGACGGGGTGTAGGGCCTGAAATCCTGACATCTGCTGAGAACATGCAGGTTGTGATTTCTAGGATGTTCCCCGTATGCTCGCAGTCCTCAAAAGGGAATATAATAGGGGGTACTAGAATCCTATTAAGGAGCTGTTAGTGTGAGAGGGGGCATCACAAGTTATGATTACAGCTAGGATCTAATGAAGGGGTCGGAGTAATTACTAGCAATATTCCCTTGTGGTCCCTTTCTCAGCTGCCCTTGCACGAACATCAGCTGCCTCCCCCCCCCCCCCCAAACTCAAACCGACTTCGCGCAAACAAGAAGACCCGTCTTGGGCCTGATTCTCGGGAAACTGACGGATCAGCTTCTCACACCTGCCACGGGGAGGGGGCAGGGCTAAATTTGGGTCCACGCTCATCTAGGCTCAACCCTGTGGACGTTGTCTACCAATTGCTTAAGAACCCCGAAAACATGAAAATGTTCTTCCTTATCAGGTTCATTTAGGAGCTGTCATTTTTCAGTTTTTTGTGGTTTTAAACACATAGTAGTTTGAGGGTTTTTGAGCCTTTGGTTTCGGGTGGACCGGAAGCCTCGACATACCCTCAAATCTTGAAGGCTTCAGTGCCCAAGGGCCAGCGAGCCGCACACAATTCTACTATTCGCCTAAGAACCCCCCCCCCCCAAACCAAAAAAGAAAACATTCTTCCTTGTAAGGGAATGTCGGGATTAGGATTATTTTCTTGAATGTTTTGGAGGTCCTTAAGCAAATAGCAGAATTTCAGGCAGTAGCCCCAACCCTAGGCAGCATCTCTATGAAGCACTCTGCGTGGGCCCTATGTCGCATTTGTATCTTCCCCTGGCGCCCTTGTACTCCAAAACCTTAGACATCCCTTGAGTTTAGGGTTTAGGGTTCAGGGTTAACAGTCCTTCATGGGGATTGTACTACCCCCAACCCTCATTAAGGACTGTTAGTATAAGGGGGAACATCCCAAGACATCCCAACGAGGGGAAAGAGACCCCTAAACCTAGAGCCTTGTCTGACAGCTGAAGACTCAGAGCTATCTTCGACCAGAACGTCTCAACACGAATTCTAAACCCTTAAAACCTCTTAAAACCCCTTACATCCCCTTAAACCCCCTAGACCCCTGACCCCTTAAGACCCCTAAACCCCGAAACCCCCTAAAACCCCTAAACCCTAAAGCCTCCACATCTGCACTGCGAAGAGCGCGGCGCTGCCCAGCTCCATGACGTCGCCGAGGCTGCAGCACGCGCCTCGGGCGGGGCGGGGGAGAACTGGAGAGTCTAGGTTTAGGGTTTATGCTTTAGGGTGTGCAAGGGTCGAGGTTCAGGGTTTACGGTTCAGGGTTTGGGGTTTGGGGTCTGTGGGTCTGTGGGTTTAGGGTTTAGGGTTTAGGGTTTAGGGTTCAGGGTTTAGGGTTTAGGGTTTAGGGTTCCCGAAATTAGGGGTATCCTTATTATAGGGGAATCCTACCATTTGGAGTCTATACTCAAGGCCTCTCAGTTTTCGCAAACCCCCCAACTGTGTAATGGACAACACCGGCCTGCCCCGCTCTCGAGCCTCGAGAAACCCCCAACATATGGCCTCCCTACTAAACAAATTGCACATTCTGTTGAGACAAACTCACAAGACACAAAGACAAACCCTTTGAGCATGAGCATCAGCTGGCGCTGGCCCGGGCTGCGGGACCTCAACCCTTTGAGCATCATGAGCATCAGGCTCGGGGCACTTGAGGCTGCGAGGTCTCGAGCGCCTTTAGGGTTCATTCGGCGGTGGGTGGTGCCGACGTTCCGGCGTTGAGGGTCAAGGTTCATAGTATGTCATAGCGAAGGACTTGCTTGTCACTGTCATTTCTGCTGCTTTACTGTTCAGAGTCTTGGGGCTCTGCAGTGCATGGTGTTGCACTCTGAGGTAGCCGTAGAAAGCAAATGAGAAACTTCCTGGGGTACCTCGATTGGTCGTGTTATCACGTGTCATCGGTCTCCACAAAGCCAGAAGAGCAATGCGAGATGCTGTGAATCACCCACGCAGGCTCATGGTTGTAGGCATGCCCGGCGTTTGCCCCCCCCCCCCCCCCCCGGCTTTACAGTAAACCCACCTGCGATGCTTGCGGTTTAGGCGCTCGGGCCCGTGCAGGCCCTCATAAGGCTCCGGACTTTTTACTGTAAGGTTGGAAAAGTGGGCCCTTTAAACGGGATCCGAAGTATGGGCCCTTATTATGCAATTTTGCATAGTGTATATAAGGGTTATATAACAGGGGACCCGAATTGAGCCCGTACTTCGGTTTCCCTGATATAGGGAAGCTTAGGGCTTATGGACCCTGCCCTCCGCGAGTCTGTGCTAGCCCCTGGCGTGGCTTCAACTCTCCAATCGGATGCTTATCTTTTATTGGGGGGGGAGGGAGGGTTTTTTTTTTGGGGGAGGAGGGGGGGGGGGTTGTTCTTAAGCAAATGGTCGGGAGAGGGATCCCCAACTGCTGAGAACGACGCCGGCCAAAGCGTTCGGGCCCACAAAGAGAGCAGTGCCTTGGAGGCAAGGGCTCATACTTAAACCCCAAACCCCAAACCCCAAACCCCAAACCCTAAACCCTAAACGCTAAACCCTAGATTTGGACCAAAAGGATTGAGTCGGTTGAGAGGGAGTTTGGGGGTCAGGAAACCTTGCCTTCACCTAAACCCTAAACCCTAAACCCTAAACCCTAAACCCTAAACCCTAAACCCTAAACCCTAAACCCTAAACCCTAAACCCTAAACCCTAAACCCTAAACCCTAAACCCTAAACCCTAAACCCTAAACCCTAAACCCTAAACCCTAAACCCTAAACCCTACCTAAACCCTAAACCCTAAACCCTAAACCCTAAACCCTAAACCCTAAACCCTAAACCCTAAACCCTAAACCCTAAACCCTAAACCCTAAACCCTTGGGATTCCTAAGGTCTTCGGAGGATTGGCCCCCAACCAGCTCTCATACTACAGCAAACCTTGTGAAATCCCTCTGACTCCTCTAGGTCTTCCGTAGGGCTTGTCCCTTCAGATGCCAGTGACACCCTGAACCCCTGAACCCCTGAACCCTAAACCCTAAACCCCAAACCCCAAACCCTAAACCCTAAACCCTAAACCCTAAACCCTAAACCCTAACTGCACCATGGCGTGTGCTGGTTCTGTCAGGGGGCCGGCGGCGGCAAGGCCCACAGAACCCCAAGTCCTTGGCTCGGGGGTTGGGAAATTGGGTTTAGGGTTTAGGGTTGAGGGTTTAGGGTTTAGGGGTTTAGGGGTTTAGGGGTTTAGGGGTTTAGGGGTTTAGGGGTTTAGGGGTTTAGGGGTTTAGGGGTTTAGGGGTTTAGGGGTTTAGGGGTTTAGGGGTTTAGGGGTTTAGGGGTTTAGGGGTTTAGGGGTGGGGCCTAAACACTTAGAACAGGATTGTTGGGGGGTTGGGAAATTGGGCTTAGCTATAAGGGCCTAAGTAGTTAGAACAGGGTTTTGGGGGTGATTATAGTACACTTTTTTTAAAGTATATTTTTTCTAGGGACCCATAAGGGAAGACTCTTAGCAACTATTCCGACCCCTACTCTATAAGAGCCTCTGTGGGGGTTTTGTGGGCCGGGTTGAGGTGCGGCCATGGGTCAGCTTGTTGATCCGGCGGCCGTCCAACAGACTCAGCAAGGGCACCAGGACGATTGTGAGGCTGCCTGTGGGTTTAGGGTTTAGGGTTTAGGCTTTTAGGTTTAGGGTTTAGGGTTTAGGGTTTCTATTTTCTAGGCTCTGATTGCAGAAGGGAGTAATCAGGATTGGGGGGTGGCTATGATTGAATGTCTCGGGGTTTGGGCGCATCAGGAACTGCAGGATTTTGGGGCCGTTGCGCCTCGAGATTGTGCTCATGACATGGGCTTTGGCCGAGATTGTGTGAGCCTCATTCAAGATCGGCCCACGGGGTCTGGGGTGTAGGAGCTTGTTGCCTTCAGGGTCAAACCATGAATTCGGTCAGACCCCTGAAACACGGTCCTGCTTGTGATGCCTAGCTCAAGTGCTCAGACTCGCCTAGCAATGCGCCAGAAGAGGCCGTTGTGTATTGCAGGCCCACTGCCTGCAGGCGTCGGGACGCTAGTGAAGGCTGCTTAGGGCTCGGGTAGGCTTGGGGGCTAGCGTCTTCTTGAAGGATAGTGTGATGCTCAAATTTGGTCTGGATATGGAAGCTGTACATACACAGAGGGGTTCGCTTCTAAGTACCATCTGCGAGATCCCCTGAAGATGCAGTTGATACATAAGAAGCTTCCGACCCGAAGCCTAAACACGAAACCCTGACCGCCCTGACCCTTCCTAAACCCTAAACCCTAAACCCTAAACCCTAAACCCTAAACCCTAAACCCTAAACCCTAAACCCTAAACCCTAAACCCTAAACCCTAAACCCTAAACCCTAAACCCTAAACCCTAAACCCAAACCCTACCAAAGCCCAAACTGCGCACTCAACCCAACCCGATCCTGCAGCATGAAGCCCATGAAGAGCCACACGGACAGCTCCGCCCCACAGACCAGCACACAGTTGCCTGGGTTGGGTTTAGGGTTTAGGGTTTAGGGTGTTTAGGGTTTAGGGTGTTTCTTTTAGGGTTTAGGGTTTGGCGTTTAGGGTTTGGGGTTTAGGGTTTAGGGTTTATTGATGTTCCATGCAGTTGCCTGAATTCACAGTAGTGTCAAGGGACCATAAGGGACCTTGGGGGTTATTTGGGGGGTATCTAGGGGCTACTTAGGCATATAGGGATTGTACAAGGGGTCATCGAGGGGAATGAGAGTAAGGGTCCATTCAAGGGGTCCCTCCTTGTTCTCTTTAGGGTTTAGGGTTTAGGGTTTAGGGTTTAGGGTTTAGGGTTTAGGCTTTAGGGTTTAGGGTTTAGGGAGCAGCCCCTGAAGCCCTGAAGCCCTAAGCAGCAAAGCCGAGACTTTGTTTTTGGGAGCTGAGGTCTGGGACTTTGATGTGCCTATTTGCCCCAAACCCACACTCCATGCCTTTAGCACAAGGTCTCTGCCCTCATCCGAAATCCGGTGCTCTAAGCCCAGCTTGCGCTGACTTGGCAGTTAAGGGGTAGGCCAGGTCAGGGTACTTGTACCAAAGCAACCCGCACCAGCCCCCAAGGGGTACAAGTCTGAAACCAGTCTGAAACCACCTACACGAAACAAAGCACTTGAACCGGCCCTACCCCAGCTTTTTGGGACCAGAGCGGGAAAAAATCAGCCGTTCAGCGTTTACTCTCTTGACTTCAGGACCCCTTCCAACAGCGCAAAACTCTCTATGCGCCAAGGTCCTCATCCGACACTCCGGGCCAGAACCTAAACTATCAACCCTGAATCTTCAACCCTAAACCCTAAACCCTAAACCCTAAACCCTAAACCCTAAACCCTAAACCCTAAACCCTAAACCCCAGACCCTGAGTCTGAAAGCAATAAGATGGGTCTGTCCTGCGATCCATCCTCCTTATACTAACAGTCCTTAATAGGGGTTCTCATAGGAGGTACTATAATCCCTATTAAGGACTGTTAGTTTAAGGGGGGAACATCCCAAGGGCTACCCATACCCTAAACCCTAAAACCTAAACCCTAAACCCTAAACCCTAAACCCTAAACCCTCTCTCCCAAAGCAATAAGATGGGTCTGTGTGCACCGAAGCGGCTCATTGACTCCTGGCCTGCAGGTTTTGCTTCGACGGGCGCGGTGTCCTGACAGCTCGGGCTCTCGAGGCCAGAGCTTCTCACATGTTGGGGGTTTAGGGTTTTTGGGGTATGGGGTTTAGGGTTTAGGGTTTAGGGTTTAGGGTTTAGGGGTTTACGAACCACGATATCGGGGAGGTTTAGGGTTTAGGATACTACGGGTAACTTATTGGGGGTCCTGATTGTCAGGGAATCCTACGATTTGGGGGTTTATGTTGGGGGTGCACCCCCGTGTTGGATCATCTTCAGCTGTATTGAGATTTGGGATCTTAATCGGGGTCTGCCCTTGCGCAGCAATGGCTAGCGGCTACGGGCCGGGGGGGGGGGTGGTTTGTGAGGTTGGCCATTTTCGTCGGTCTGCACCCATTCGTGCGACTGCGCCCCAAGCGGAAAGGTCGAGCTTGCCCCGATGCTTCCGTCCATTTGCTAGGGTTTTTAAAAAATAGGGGACCCCCAATATAGACCCCCAAATAGTAGGATTCCCTTAGATAAAAGAACCCCAAGAAGGCACGCCTATTTTCGGAAACCCCCATATACGTAGGTTCCAAACCCCAGAGGCCTGGCGAGGCGCAGGCCCCCAAAAACCCTTTAAACCCCATACAGTAAGTTGGGATGATGCGCCTTATTGTGAGAGGGGGTACTATAATGCTCATACTCAGGAAAGTTAGCAACTTCATACAAGAAAGAACATCCCAACCCTAAGCATCCCGAAGCCCAGCCCTTGCTTAAGAAGCCCATGTTGCCCTCCTTCGCCTCGCCGCCCATGAACCGGCCCATGAAGATGAAGGCACCCAAAGCCAGGGCGGCGATTCCGAAGCGGAGCCTAGGCAAAAACAATCAATGTGTTCACCAGTAACAGACACAGACAGAGACAGACAGTGAGAGACAGTGACCGGCAGGCAGGCAGGTAGACACGCCAACACGGAGACACGCACAGAGACACACACACACACATACACACCGGCCCGCAACAATTCCGGAACATGGGCTTGAAGGGCTGAGGCTGCGTGACTTCGTGAGCTTCAGACAAGCTGATAGTCTGTCTGATAGAGTTAAGGGCTCCAGGGCATGCCCTAGACTCCTGAAACAAGGTTTAGGGTTTAGGGTTTAGGGTTTAGGGTTTAGTTTAGGGTTTAGGGGTTTAGGACTCCTGAAACAAGGAGCGTCATGCAAAGGCAGCTGTCCATAGCACCAGCGGTTGCATCGTCGGTCTCGAGGGTCTTGATCAGGACCTCCATGCGCGAGCCTAAACCCCAAACCCTAAACCCTAAACCCCAAACCCTAAACCCTAAACCTGAACCCTAAACCCTAAACCCTAAACCCTGAACCCTAAACCCTAAACCCCAAACCCTAAACCCTAAACCCTAAACCCTGAACCCTGCACCCTGGGCTTGCCCTTGCCCGAAGGCTAGCCAATGGTCTCCTAGCGGCCCGAGTAGGCTCCCTTGGCCTTTCGGGGATCATGCGCCTATTCTGCACATGGGCTTAGGGTTTTGCACCCCCAAAAAGGGCACCCAATATATATATATATATATGTATATATAATCACCAATATGAAAAAGGGAGGCTTATGTACACTCACCAAGAACAGTAATATAAACCCTGTTTCAGGGTTTGTGTAGGAAGCAAGAATATGAAATCCTATGAAGGTGACCTACAAAAAGCTGGGTTCGGACAATGCCATGATTCCACTGAAGTGCTGGATACCTGGCTGCTCTCTTGAGGGTAGCTATAAGTTGAGTTTTTGGCTGCCTTACTAGGAACCCAATAAAGCCAAAAAGGCTAAGGATCTAAAGTTACGGTAAAGCACCACAAAGGAGATTACTACGACTTGACCACAGCGACGTACAGCGCGTAGCGCCCGGTCTGTAGGGTTTTGGGTTGGCCTGGCGAAAGGTGTGCTGCATTGGTTGGGATGTTCCCCCTGATACCAAAAAGTCCAATAGGGATTCTACTACCCCCTATTCTGACCCCTATTCAGGACTGTATAGATTTCGTGTAGGCACGAAGACTGCCCGAATCCTACGCTTCCAGTGCCATGTGCCACACGGCACGGCACCTTATGCGAAGCCCAGAGATCCGCTGGAGCTGCGCCATGTGGATGTGAGGAGCGTATTATTAGGGTTTAGGGTTTAGGGTTTAGGGTTTAGGGTTTAGGGTTTGGGGTTTGGGGTTTAGGGTTTAGGGTTTAGGGTTTAGAGTTTAGGGGTTAGGGGTTGGGGGTTGGGGTTTGGGGTTAGGGTTGACTATGACACCGAGACCCCATCAATACCCTGAACGGCCGTAAAACCCCGAAGCCCATCTGCCAAACCCGCACAATGCCAGAACCCCCAAAACCGCTAAACCTCAAACCCTAAACCCCAAACCCAAAAGACCAAAAACCCTAGACCTGAAAACCCCTGAGCGAGACAATCAATCCGTCCGACGGCCGGCGCGAACCACCCCCCAGGCCTGATTGCTTCCGAAGAGCCTTGAAGCTGCTTGGTTGCATCAGTGCTCTTGTGATTTTTTTTGGGGGGGGAGGGTTTAGGGTTTAGGGTTTAGGGTTTAGGGTTTAGGGTTTAGGGTTTAGGGTTTAGGGTTTAGGGTTTAGGGTTTAGGGTGTAGGGTGTAGGGTGTAGGGTGTAGGGTGTAGGGTAGGTTTAGGGTTTAGGGATGTTCAGGGTTGTTTAGGGTTTAGGTTAGGGTTTTTAGGGTGTGTAGGGTGGTTTAGGGTAGGGTTTAGGGTTTAGGGTTTAGGGTTTAGGGTGTAGGGTGTAGGGTTTAGGGTTTAGGGTTTAGGGTTTAGGGTTTAGGGTTTAGGGTTTAGGGTTTAGGGTTTAGGGTTTATGGTTTAGGGCTTTTGGTTTAGGGTGTATAGAAGGGAAGCTCGCTGGTGCTAAAAGCACCCGGGCCGCTAGCTTACGTTAGCATGTAGTCCCACCCCAGCCACCCAACCTATTCTCATTTAGGGTTTAGGGTTCACCCCCCAAACCCCCCTCAAGGGGGGCTTTCTTGCTTTATACAAAAAGAGCAGGGTGGGGCCTCCTGAGCTTTGTGGAGCCTGTCAGTGGCTCGTAGGCTTCTTGGAGCTTTCACGGAGTAAAATGGAGGGGTGCCCAAAACCGTCGATTGCAATACTAAAACCAACATTTTTTCACTACGGTCTGGGCAAATCCTGGATCGCGGGGCTTCATGCAGCCTTAGGGACGCAGCCTGGGCCCGTTGGGGGGGGTACCCCCCAGACCCCCAAAAACACCAACGGCTCCGCGTTTGGGTTTTTTAGGGCTTGCGGCCTCGGTCTGAGGCGTAGCCAGGCCCCGGAGACGCTCGGTCGGGGACCTCAGTCGAAGCCTCGAGCGCCCATGTAAATGGACAGCGGCGCTCTCGGCAGTTTAGGGTTTAGGTCTTAGGGTTTAGGGTTTAGGGTTTAGGGTTTAGATTAAAGGCTTAAGGCTTCGTGGCTTTCGAGTTTGCTTTTGGGTTTGAGGCTGAGCACCAGCAAGCTATTCAACACCACTCACTTTCGCTCTTCGCTGTGATACGTGCTTTTGCTTGGAAAACCTGCGGGATCAAAAAAAACTGTCAAACCCTAATCCCTAAACCGGCGGACCGCCCTTACGCGAACGCACGGACGAACTGCACAATGAAAGCGGTTGCCACTTTATTTTGCTTGGAGTGGACACATCGCCCCAGAACGAGCCATAGCGAAGATCGTTAGTTGGCTTTCAACAGTACGGTCGAGTGTGTTGAGTTTAGGATGGTACTGGCAAGGTCAAACCAAAAACTTGTACCCAACAAGGATCCAGGAGCATGGTCACCACATTCAGCAAGGCAATGCCATTGCTTTGGCCTGCGGCGAACACAACTGAGGGTTTAGGGTTTAGGGTTGAGGGTTTAGGGTTTCCACGCTAAACCCTAAACCCTAAACCCTTATCCTAGACCCTAACCCCAAACCCTAAACCCCAAACCCTAAACTTTCCTTCGTGAGGATATCCCCAAACTCCAGAGAGATTCCCCCGACCCACGCGAGAAAGTGCTGCACCCTCAGTGCGATCAAGAAGAGGGCACCAGGCAGCCAGGACCCCCAACTTCCAAACTTACAACTCATAACCCTAAACCCTAAACCCTAAACCCTAAACCGTAAACCCTAAAACCTAAACCCTAAACCCTAAACCCTAAACCCTAAACCCTAAACCCCGGAGCGCCTTCTGACTGTGCGGAGGAGGTTGCCAGCGTGGACACAGAACCTGCGCACATCCATGTGCGCATCTTGAAGCTTGGGGGCGAAGAGTGTGACCAAGGGCAGGGTTTAGGGTTTAGGGTTTAGGGTTTAGGGTTCAGGGTTCAGGGTTCAGGGTTCAGGGTTCAGGGTTCAGGGTTCAGGGTTTAGGGTTTAGGGTTTAGGGTTTAGGGTTTTAGGGTTGCAATGCCCGGAAGACTTGGCTTCATAGGAGACCGCACACCGGGCACCCCAAACAAATTGCCGGCAAGCGGGTCCAACATGACAACCTGCGACCTTGGGTCTGAAATGAAACCTAAGACCCTCTTCCACACTGCGCCCCAAGCCCGACCCGAGATAGCCCTTGTAGCACGAGCAGCCCTAAACCCTAAACCCTAAACCCTAAACCCTAAATCCCGCAATACAATTCTAGTAGCAACGGCCCACCTCTCTCGGGTGCATACCTGGAGGGTTGCAGCCTGCGGCGGACGCTTGAAGTGGGAGAGGTGCGGGGCCTTGCAGTGTTCTGAATTCTGTCCACAGATTCAGAACATTCGACAGGATTTTTGGTTCAGGATTTGGCGTTTAGGGCATCATTCTGAACGAGAGGTCCGCCTACGGCTGCAAGTCTAGCTTTAAAAGTCGTTGTAGCCAGTTCTCCAGCTTTTGGTTGTTGCGGCGCAGTGATGCTTGGGGGCTTCTGAGCTGCAGCCTGAGAGTAGGCCGGCCCGCACTCTCCGTCGCCACGAAACTCAGGCCAGTGGCGAGGGCCTTTAGGGTTTGAGGGTCTAGGGTTCGCGGGTTAAGTTAGGGTTTGGGGTTTAGGGTTCAGGGTTCAGGGTTCAGGGTTTAGGGTTTAGGGTTCAAGAGTTTCTGAGCAGTTCGGGGCTCGGGGTCGCGGGCCTCAAGGGCACTGGGACTACATCAGGGGATTGTAGGCAAGGCAAGTAGCCGGGCTCAGAGTCTCGAAGGGTTCTCAAGGTCTTAGGGACCCTAAACCCTAAACCCGAAACCCTAAACCCTAAGAGCCTGCAGGGGTCGTGGAACATTGATGCGGAGCTTTGAGCTTCGCTAAAATTTAACCCCACAGAATGTCTCAAGGTCTCTTCGTCTTATCGGCTCTTGAGAGGAAAAACTAAATGGGAGAGTGCGCGTTCCTTAGCTTGCCTGGGAGGTGTGTGTCGACATTGGGACATGCTTTGGGCTTGCTCCCCGGCCCCTCTTGGGGTTGCTGCAGCATTTTGGGACTTGGGCTGGACATGATCTGCGCACGCTCACACCGTACATGGAGCCTAAGGCCCTTGGTCCCTAAACCCAAGACTCTCACCTTAAACCCTAAACCCTAAACCCTAAACCCTATACCCTATACCCTATACCCTATAAACCCTAAACCCTAAGCAAACCAAGCAGACAAGTCGGTCCGAGCCGCCCCCACAGCCGACCACAAAAGGACATGGCCAAGCAAGGCGCGGGATTGCTGGAGCCTGGTCGGCTCCGCAGGGTCTCGATTGTTTAGGAAGTTTAGGAAGTTTAGGAAGTTTAGGGAGTTTAGGGCTTTAGGGTTTAGGGTTTAGGGTTTAGGGTTTAGGGTTTAGGCTTTAGGGTTTAGGGTTTAGGGTTTACGGTTTACGGTTTAGGGTTAGGGGTTTAGGGTTAGCGGTTTAGAGTTTAGGGTTTAGGGGTTTAAGGGTCTAGGGTTTGGGGTTAGGGGACCGCACAAAGAAAGCCTGGAGAGGGCCCTGTCATTTGTGGGGGAGCGGGGGGGGGGGAGGAGGGGGGTGGAGGGAGATGCACTATTGCACGCAGAATTCTGGCTCGCCCGTAATCACCAGTAAGAAAGCCTCCCCCATTCCTCGCCTTCCACACTTGGCCAAGAAATCAACGAACCTCAAATGGAAGCCGAAATCCCAACTCACCCTCAACTACCTCCAGCGCAGGAAATCGAGCCGACGCCGAACTTTGCCCGCAGGAGGTTAGGACTTACCCTAAACCCTAAAACCCTAAATCCTAAAACCCTGAATCCTGGACATCTCATAA